TCTTTCTTTGGCAGCAGTAACTCATTCTATAGTGTGAAATCCTGTCCTTCTTTCATAGCTTAGCTGTGACAGCTAGATTTAAAAGTAATGGAATGACTTCTGTGAAGAGAAAACCTAACTTGTAAAGAGGTAATATTAGTATGAAGTATGGGTCATTACCTAATGTAAGGAGGGGGGAAGTGGACTCTATATTTGTTGATAGTTTTCTTCATTACAAACTGACATATTTGCATTCCTTGCATTAAAGTGCTTACTGTTATCAGGAATAACTCCAAAGTTCACATTTTCATGGTGGTGCTCTGTAAGCTCGATGTTTCACTTCAGTTAGTCCAAGTCTGGATGAAAGCATTAGTTCATAGATAAGGAGCTCTTTCAGTTGGGCAGCATCCTCTTTGTGTAAGTATTTTACTTGTAGCATGTGCAGTTAGTAAAGATAAACATTAAGCCATTTGTATGCTATTACAGTCACGCTGTAGAAAAACTAGTGGCTGGAAAAAACTGGCCTCAGCGTAGAAGTCTCTGAGCCACGGTGGTTGTGAATAATCAGGAAAAGTTACTTAATGCAGGAGAATGATGTTGTGAACATCAGAAGAAGCCTTTTACTGTTAAATTAATTTAAATGAAATTTTGTTTCACTAACACTTTTGAGAAAATGTTAAGAATTCCAGTAATTGACTCTTGTTGACAAGGCAGCAGAGAAGCTAACTAATTGAATGCGTTGGTGCTAATTTTGATTGATACTGTGTAATTATGATGTCAAAGGTATTTAACTTTGTATCAGGCTGCAAATCTTTTTCAGACTTTTAGTCTACCCTGGAGAGAAAAAAACACATAAAATGGGAAAACCCAGACACTCCCCCAGCTTGAGCTATTTCACAGAAGAGTATGAGAAAGTTAAAAGGTTTCACTAGTTCAGCCTACTTCCTTGTCAGTAGCATATCTCTGAGAAACTCTGGAACGTCTTAGTGTCTGAAAAGCAAAAAGGAGATGTTCTCTCTGAATTTTGATGTCAGCAGCAGCAGAGTATCCTCTGACAGCCCTCTGTGCTCTTCTAGCTTTTTTTCTTTCCTAATAGCTTTGGTCTAACTGGAGGTCTTAAAGCCTGAAGGTAAAAGACAGCCTTCCAAACTAACTTGAGCTGCTCTGTTCTCACCAAGAAGAAATAAAACTTCATTTCTTAACTAAAAGCAAAATTTATGGAGAATACAAGAAATCCAGTTATTGTGGTCATGACTTTTGAAGCAAATGTTCTTGAGACTGACAAGCCAAGCATGAAGGGATATGCTTCCTTAGGATGTAAATTCTGTGTTTGATTCATTTGTTGTGTAATATTTTAATGTATTTTTGGTTTATTAGAATTATATGTTGATTAATATTGAGAGAGGTTTTATTAATGTCAGAAATAGTACTTCACTGTTCACCAAGGAGAAAGTCAAGATGGCTATGATTTCAAAGGTTAGTAGTAATCTGTACACCTTATTTTATTATAAACTCAATCTTTTCCAGAATTAAGGCTTTCAACTGTTAGAACTTTTTATAAACCATTATTTTTTTTCTACCTGTTTCTCTTCTTGGTTCTGTTTTTTACCATTTCGTATTCATTCAGATCCTTGTTGTTCAGGAGGTTTTCCTGCTGGTGAGTTTTGTAGCTCCCATTGATACTTCATCCCTATTTGTCTTTCTGTCCCAGAAGAATTTTTGCTTCAGTGAGCCTCAGGAGTATTTTATAAGTAATTCTAAGAACTTAGTTGTGACTCTGCCAAGTGTGCTGCTTTTGCTTGCCATATAGTTTAGGGCTGGCTAGGCTTGGTGCTTTTCAAAATCCTGTCTTGCCTGTGTTTCTGTTGTGTATGAGTAATAGGCATTAGTCCTTAACAATCATACAGTTGGAAAGTTGTGGAAGAGTTGAGTTTACATTGTAGTGATGTTACTTATCCATTTCTGTCATTCAGCATCTTCAGTGACAGCATGTCTGGTTGGAGATGAAACTTGGGGCTCTGTGAAAGCTTTGGTTGCAGATGGCTTCTCAGGAGTGCTGCTCTGTGGGCTGTTCTCTGTTGTGGCAGTGTTCTGTGGGTGCAGGAATTCAGTCATCTGCTAGGCACAGGGCTTTGAAGTTACCAGCCCAAACAGTCAGGGGAATTAGGTGCTGAAGTCCTGTCTCCTTGTGACTGGTTGCAAAATAGGTTGTAGGCTGGTGTCCAATGCCATGGGAGAAGCAGCATCTTTTCCCTGCAGTGAATCATCTCATGTTTATTGAAGTTCACTGGTGAAACTTGTCCTGGCTGTCTTCATTCCCCAGTAGTAATTGTGGTAATAATCAGCCAAAGCGCATACGTCAAAAGCCTTTTGTTTTTATTCTGAAGGGAAAGACAGAGCTATTAAAAGTATTTTCATAGGTTTATGATGGCATGAGAATGCTTCATAGAGGCTTCTTTATTTAGGAATTATAATGTTCATAGGTGATGCCTTCCTAAGGTAAACCAAGAAGGATATTTTCCATTGATGCTTGTTCCTTCCTTCTTTTGAAAAATCTGGGTTCATTAGTAGGACATCCTGAAAGGCATGCTTACTTCTCTTAGGAGATAAAGGGTGAAGGCTATGCAGGGTAGGGAGGAAAATATTTTTTTAAGCCTTTATGAGAAAGGATCTATCTGAACTTCTGGTGGTTATTTTTTCAGCAGATTCAAACACTGTTAGATTGTGCTGAGATTAGTTAGTGTTTTCAGACAGCATTCTCTCTCCTTATGTTTTTGAGCAAGCTTTGTCTACAGTTTCAATACTTCTGATGTTATTAATTATATAAGACTTTTAAAGCTTTGAACTGCGGTTCTGCAGGTGACTTGCTGTTTTGTGAGAACAGCTTTTACAGGCTGTGGCAAAGAAGTGGGGGAAGTGAAGCATTCCTTGGGTAGGTGGCAGATTCTGAGATCAGAGGGATGAATCTGCAAGGATTCCTCCTCTTGTAGTACTGCATATTGATAACTGGAACATAGCAAGCAACCCTTGAATTGTCTTCAATTAACACGTTTTGGTTTGTTCAAGGGTGATGTCATAAAATAGCCTTTTTCAGTAGAACCAAGTTCTTTCTTCCCTCCCTCCTTACATACGCCTACACTGATGTTTTTTCAGTTCTACAAGTGTGTGTTTTCTCACTCTCTCTGCTGTGTAGGCGGCCTTCCCAATCACAATTAAGCTTCACAGGCAATCTTTACAAAAAAAAAGAAAAGAAAAATAAATAAAAAAATCATCTTTACACAGCAGGTCTGTAATACCAAAGGAAATGGGGAGTTCTGGGTCAGAATTGGTGTCTCTTAGTTATGCTTGAATTGGCAAAAAATTTCACCCCCCCAAAAAAAAACCCCATGAAATTGCTTTCTTGACCACTACCTGTGGAAATTATTTTTTTACATTCTACCTGAGTGATTTGCCAAAATGTCAGTTGCAATGACAAACAAATAGGCTATAAATCTTATACTTGCGTTGTTAGGCTAAGTTATAACTGAGCTTTTCTATCCTAGAATTAGAATGTGATTCTAATGAAAAACGCAAACTCAGTTTGTTGACAATATGAAAGTTAAAATGCAAATCTTCTGGGAGTGTTGCCTTATATTAAATATGATTTCAGTTATCTCTGCCTTTTAGAAACTGCTTTTGCTGCACTGCATTATTATTTTTTGTTTACTTGCAGCTCTTTTGCTGATGCTCCTCATTTTTCCAAGGCCTTAATTTCACACAGTATTTTGCAAATAAGCCTAAACTTAAGCAACAAAAAAAACCTCAGCTGTATTTTTAATTGCTCAAAAAAGATAGCAATAACGATTTTCTTGAGTTCTGTTAATAACACTATTTGGCATTTCTTAAAAAAATTTTGTTAATGCTATTGTTCTTGACACCAGGTAGGTATTCCAAGTTTATTCCACTCTGTAAAGAAATACTTCTGGGAAAGTAGCAATGGATGGCTTCAAATTTGCTTATCAACCTATGAAATTTCAACAACAATTATTACACAAGGGCCTTGTACCATGGGCTTCTGTGCAGTTTGTGCTACCGTTGCAGCTGAAAGGAACTGTCTTTCTCTGCTTTTGCTGTCTGGTACCTTTTCTGCTTCATGTCAGCACAGGTGCTCATGTAGCTGTGCAGTGAACTGCAAAAACCAGGCTGGAGAATAATCTAGGTCTTCTTCTTTAGGCTCCTTACTTAGAGCTGTATTTTAATCTCTCTTTGATATGATTCACTGTACATCTTCTCTAACACGTGAGCTTGGTGGGAGTAGAGTAGGACAAAAATTCATTGGCAGTATGTGCTCTGCCTCCAGCTTGTGCCTCTGCGGAGTTCTCGGGACTGCAGCATAAATCTCCATGGTTACATCTGTTTGCCCAGGCTAATTTTAGAGGACTCCTATCATCTAGAGATTCAAGCCTTTTGTAGCAGTAGGCAGAGGTCAGGTGTTAAGAGTAATTCTGAAATGATACAGATTATAATCTGGGATCTGGTAAATAGGAAGGACCAGCTTTGAAACCTTGAAATTTCCTTCTACACTCGGAGACTTCTTAGGGTACTGCAGCTGGTGGCTTAGATAAAAACTCCTGCTCTCCCTCGTTTTTGACATGTGTTACAGACTTTATGTTGAGCAGTGAGGAAAAAAAGTGGGCCACAGCATTGCTAAATGTCCCCTTTCTTTCAGGCATTGCCAAATGTGTGTTTAATCTCTAAATGCCTGGCAGAATGTGTTCTGGAAGAAAATAACTTGATTCAGAGAAGGGGTGATAAAAGAAGGGTTGGGATTGTTGTAGTGAGAAAATTATCATACAGACTTTCTCAGATGTGTAAGTTATATGCAAAAAAAATCAATAGATTCATAGCTTTATTCTCCTTCATTGTCGCTTCTGACTTCTTACAAGCACAATTTTCAGAATACCCTTTACCTTTTGAAATATATTTCATTTGATTGCTTCCAATTCAAATTTTGTTCATGCCCATGATCTTTTTGCTTCTAGGTTTCACTGTGGTATGATTCATCAGAAGTAGATTGTGACGTCAACTGGGAGTTTTTGCTGAAGCTGCATGTGTCTGCTTTCTCAGGAATTTGGATAGGTAAGAGCACATGTTCTGCCTTCTCTACCTTCTGACCTTTTGGAGTACTGCTAGTTGTCACAAACTGAATGTTGTGTTTGACTGCATGTAATGTTCCATGCAGTGTGTAAGGGGTGGTCTCCAGCAGGATGGTTTACCCGTGGGCTGGCTGCCACAGAGTGCCAGACTGTATCCCAGGCTGTTGCTGAATACTTCCTCTATACATCAGTGTTTTTCCAGAAGGGAGATACAAGGGAACTAGATGGCTATTCCCTCCCCCCTCCTTTCTACTAGGTATGTGTAGAAGTGTTTGCAAAAGCAGGTTGGGCTCTGTTCAGGCTGTGTGACAGAATGCCTGCTTTTGTCACATTTTCTGAAACACAGCAGTTCTTGTAGGTGGTTTCTTTTAACCCACTTGTGAAACTAAACTCATGTTGTAAGGAAGAAAGGGGTGATTCTTCTGGATGTGCCTGATCCTTGAAAAAGACTGTTTTTTAGTACCTGATCTTTCACAGAGTAATGTAATATATTAGAAGGTAAAATGGAGGCAGCAAGTGTGAGATGCTGCAGTTTTGCCCATGCAGCCTTGCCCTCTGCCTTGTACTAGATGCAAGTCCTTGACATGTGTATAATGACCTGGTTCATATGGTATATGAAGAAGGTTAGAAAATGGCAGTGTGTGGGTTTGGGGTGTGGAAGGAGAAGAGATGTGGAGCAGTGGTGTTGGTTTTGCAAAGATGGGCAGGGTTGGATTTGTTTTCGGAAGGATCAGCTTCCTGAATTAACAGGTTGTGCAAGCAGTAGTGGCTGCCTGGAGGGAAGTGACCAGAATTTGCTATGGACTGCAGGGACGACAAAACTAGAGATCTCAATTAAGACCAGTTGAAGCAGATTTGCACCCAGGCAGTAAAAACATAACCCCCTCCACTGAACATGTGTTAATCATGTGTTTATTAACACATATTGAAACCTATAGATAACAGGATATGCAAAAGAAGTCCAGTCTGGAAGTAACAGCATAAAAAACATTGCTGCCAAGGGAAAAACCCTCCCTTATAACATCGGTTCATCAGCCTGTTGGATGTCAAAAAAAACGAATAGGTTTCTTATGTGAGAGAATGTGCTCTGTAGTTGTTGCAGTTGCCTTGAAGGATGTTGTTGTATCAAAAATGTCAGTTTAAAACTCTTCCGAAACACTGTCAGCAAAGCTGCATTGCATTGGCAGAGATTTAGCTTCTGAGGTGGTGACAAGATCTTCCCTTCAGAGGACATATATACTGGAAACAAATACATTTGCCCACAGATCTAGTGGAGCCCTTGGAAAAGGCTATTTTAATTATTTTGTCTTTTCCCATGAGTCATTTTACCTTTTAATTTGGCATCATCTTTAGCATTGATTTTTACAGAGAATCGTTACTGGGGTTTTCTTTGTTATATAGCTCTCAAAGTTACCATAGAGGGGAAAATAGTGTCCATGTCTTTTGCACCATACAAAAGTTTGTTTTGGGTTTTTTTTAATATAAAATTTGTGGTCCTAAGAGACTATTTAAGAATCATGATAGCAAACACTGCAGTGGGGGCATGGACAGTGAAAAAGGGCTGTCTTGAGTTATGAAGAGCAGTCTTAGTTGTTAGTTTAACTTACTGGGAAGTTTAACTTACTGTTAGAAAGTAAATGAGTAGTTTTTCCCCCTACTATGTTTGGATTGAACAGTCTAGAGTTTTTGTCACATACTTTCCATAAAGAAGGATCAGGTAATTAAACTTCATTTTGCCAGTGGTGTTACCATGTTACACCACTGAAACACTGAAGGTGGTAAATTCCTTTTTATTATACACATTTTACCATTTTTGTTCGAAGTGGAAATTAAAAAAAATTAATTAAATTAAAAAAAATTACCTCTGTGGAATTTAAAAATATTTAAATTTCATCCTGTAGTAAGTCTAGTAATACAAAGTTGTACTTAAAACCTAATTAATTTAATTCATTTTAGTAACAGTTGTGGTTGCTGGTTTTTTATGAATGTTTGGGCTCGTGGTCTTTATAGACCCAGTCTTGTTTACTGAAATTCTTGAGCAGGTTTTACAGTTGGATGTTGAACATAAACATATTAACAAGCAGCTTTTTTAAGGAACAGTATCACACTCCAATAAAGCTGATATTTGTTTGTTTTAAATAGGGAATCTTAATTGGATTTCTAAGGATATTTAGGTGCAAAACATTCAGCAGCATAAGCTCAGTTTTGTCAATTCCCCATATTCTTCTGTAGATACTGGCAGAATAAAACTCAAAAATTCTGCATGAAACTTAACCTCAGATTGCTTATTTGACCTGAACTTAAAATGAAAAGGACTTGTGGGGAGTGAAGAAGAAGAGATGGCCACTGTGTGCAAGTGGCTGATGTTGACTTTAAGTTATATATTGCTGGTTTTATCTGTACTATTCTTTTCCTGTTGAGAGGTTGAAGTCCTGTGGCTTCATTTGTTCACTAGCAATAAAGCCTTGTTGGGTGGGGGTGGGGTTGAGGTGGGAAAGGTTTTGCCTCAGGAATTCTTGCTTTTTCACAGGGATCTGTTTAAGAGTACGTGGTGTTGTGTTCCCTGCAAAGGAAGGCAGGAGCTATTTGGGTACTGTTTCTCTGAATGGCCAGGAGGAGAGTTGTATGGAGTTGTGTTTCTTACATTTTGCAGGTCTTAATTTTTTTCCCCAAGGTTCAGTTGGTGATTATACAAAGGATCTCTGTTATTAGGACTGCGTAGATTTGTAGTTCAAGTTTCTTCCCTGAGGAGTCTGAAGAAAGTTAGGAAGAGCCCATGCAATTAGTGCTTACAGTCTTGGCCTCTTTATAAAGAAAGGAAGGTGTTCCTTGAGGACTGCACATACATATTTTGAATGCATGTACCTGTGCACACATGCACCTGTGAGTCAGAGGAAATGGACGTATTGGATGCATGTATGTTCCCAAGTTAGTGACCGCCTTGTGTAATGTTTTTGTACTGTAGTATTGCAATGATAACTGCAGTAATTATCTTTAAATGAAAAAGGAGTAGAAAGTGCTTAGTCTATTTTTATGTTCTTTTATGTTTAAAAACATTGTGGTGAATTAGTGGGGTATATGATAGTTGACAGGTTAGTTAATGTACTAGAGAACTGGAGAATTGCAGTAAGATCCTTCAGCAAAACTGGATAATATTCTTAATAGCTAAATATGTCCATTTTAGTAGGGAATGGGTGTTCATAACAAGAGTCTCACCTTCATTTCATTATGTATGAGACTGAAAGAATTGGATATTCAGAAGATAAGTGTATATGAGTGAATGAAGAGAGGAAAGCCTGGATCCCATAAATTTTTGGCTATCTCTAAGCTGGTGAGAGTTTTATGCTTTGACAGTTTTTTTCTTAGTCCAGAATGACTGATTATTTAATAGTATGAATTGTAATGATCCACACTCTTTACTGTTAGAGGCACCTGTTGAAGAGGCAGGCCAAGAATGAGGCATGCTATGTCTGCAAACTTCTTTATTTCAGAATGGTTAGGCACACCCAAGTTAGCATTAATCTACCTAGCCTGGATTAAAAATGATTGCAAGGATTTAACAGCATGGATTTTAGTATAGCCTGTTTGAGGCTGACTAAAAGTCTGAATGCTTAATCACTGCAATCCTGTGCCCTGGAAATTGAGGGTTTTGTAAAACTGAGTTCTGTAGCTTGTATAAATGTGGAGAGTTGTTGGAAGATTAAATAGATACATTATTCTGTGAATTTTTCCTAGCTCTCCCTTTAAGCTGGTAGTAGTGTAACTCAGAACTAGTATGTACTTAGTATTTTGTATGATTACATTTGTATGCTGATTAATAAACAAGATGTTTTCTGTTTACTAAACAGAAAAGCAGCTGATTCTGCTGTATTAGAAGTTGATTCTGGTATATTAACATTTTATGAGACTGGCTGCAGAAGAACAAGCAATTGTTGTGTTTTGATTTTTATGCATTATTCAGCTTGCACATTGCTTAAGTACCTAGTGCTATGCTTCTTAAACTTGAATAGCAATACAGTTTTGCAGTTCAATATTTTCATTGGTTCAGGTGAGTAGTAAGAATCAGCAATTAAATAAATTGGAGACATTAAACAGACCTGGCATCTGTGAAGCACAAGAAATCCCCAGTAAGTTCATGTACTTAATGAAACACCAAAACCCAGCAAACAAAAAACCAAACTAAAACAAAGCAACAAAAGTAAACAGTCCCTCTCCCCCACTAAAAAAATCAAATCCCCACAACCAAAGAAGCAAAAAACAAAAACCAGTGAACCCTTGACAGAAGAGACAATAGAGCAGAAAAATTTGGGCTACTAAAATTATTTACCTGCTTTTTTACCTGTAGAGAGCAAAATGCGTTATTCCTTTGTAAAATGTTTTGAGAACACATGGAACTGCTACTACTACAACTGCACTGACCATGAGATTTCCTAAATTCATGCTTCAGAACAGATGCATCAGCTTGAAGCACAGCATTTCTGTAAAAAGCTTCAAAGAACAATGTTCCTGGCAATTCAGAGATTAACAATTCTTTAATGATTCCATCTACCTAAAAGCTAAAGGTGCCCTTTTATAATTCTCCGTGATTGAATTCCTTCCTTCTCTTGGTTTCTCTCTTCTTACATGCATTTTAATTTTTTTCCTCCAGTTTTTCTGTACTCTTCTCGAGCTGTAAAATCAAGCTTCTCTGTGCCAGTCAAAGTAAAATAACTGCTTTGCTCTCTTAATTGGTATTCTCGCTTGTTTAAATATTAGTGGTTTAAGATTAGCCACAGCTACGTGTTTCGAGTTTTCTTTTGGGTACACAGATTCAAGGAAGCTGATGAGTAAATTGGAGTGATGCTCAGAGCTGTCACCTGTGAAGATCAGAATTCACACTTTCCACTCGAGATCAGAGAAGATTGGCTTGCTTTTCAGCCTAATTGTATTCACTACTTATGCATAATGCAAACCCACAACTTAATGCTGCTCCATTTGATGAAA